GATAAATATTGTAGATGGAAGAAAAAGAGCTAATAGGTATGTCTAGGAAATTACAGTCTGTTTCTAAAGTCAATAGAAAAGTACTTAGTGAAAATGTATGCAGGCTGCAAGTAGTGATTGTATTGTTCATTCAAAACTGGTTGATATGACTTTGAGCAAACCCATTCAGTGAACATGGCAGAGATCAATCACAATGATATGACTTCTCATAAAAAACAAAAAGATTCCAAAAGAAAAAGGACTAGGTAAATTTCTTTATGGTTCAATTGTTTGTTTTTTTTGGTGGAGGGGGGCACAACTGGAGTTTCCATTTTGGTCATCAAGGAAGGAAAGAATTTTATTTTACAACAAATGCATACAAAGACTGCTTATTATTGATACATGGTATCAAAAATTTAAGTTTATGATTTATTTGGCTTAAGCCATGTTACTAATTATATAACTATTCAAAAACTTAATGTCTTTAACAAAAAGAAATTGAAAAAACAAAAGCCATTTAATTCTTAAAATGTTGAATTAACGCTGTGATCAAATTTTTCACTACTCTTCAAGATTACTCAAAATAGCATCTGAACAATTCTGAAAAGAGAAATCACAAAACTCATTTGTAATTTGTACTGACATAAATTGCTATAAATGTAACTAACTTATGTAACCGGACATTCTGATAAACTATTCTTAATGTTTAACTCTGTACCAGTTCTAATAGTGGAAGGATGCTATGTGGAGACAAGAATTAGATAAAGTCTGTTTCACACACACATTATGATTTCTATTATCTTCAAATTGCAGGATGTTTAAACTGAACTTCTCAACAAGGGAGCTAGAAAATCCTATACACTACAGCATCTTGCATATTAAGAGAGTATAATACATTTTATCACCAACTGTTATTTAATGACTCATTTTGACCGACTTGTTTTTCTAGTAAGTTTCTAAAATATCAAAGTATATTAAATACTCAAAATGATAGAAGAGAAAAAAAAACAATTTTGTGATGCAGAACACCTGCCTTTTGTTGTTCTCTAAATGTTAAAACTGACACTTCTTTGTACTCATTGTTATATTGCTAACAAAGAAAAAGTAAACAAAACTAAAATCAGTTGAAGGCATGAAACTAAAAACAGCAGCAGCTGTGTACATCTAAAAAAAAAAAAAATAAATTTTCAGTAATTTACAATCTTAACATTATACTTGTAATCTTTCTAATTATCAATTGTGGGTGCTTGGCAATGGAGTAGCAATTACTAAAACAGTCTTGAAGACCATTATCCCTGTAATGAATTTGATCCCTGCTGGGTACCTTGTAGATATAGTCTTGTGCTAAAACAAGTTTCTGTTTAATAAACAAATAAGTTATTCTTATTTAACTCATCAATAAGTGAATTTTTTCCCTATCAGTTATTTCTCTAGTTTTTCATTGAGAAGAGAAGAATGAAAGTGAAGAAACAATAAGGATCTACAAAAAAAGTAAATGCTTTCCAGACCATATTGCTAAATAAATTTTTATTTAAAGCAGTTCCTATATTTCTTTCTTCTCCAGAGACTTAGTTTTTTTTAAAACAGTTGATTTTATTATGAGAATATTCCTTTGTTCTTAAGAAAAAAAATATCACCCAGGTTCTGATGACTTACCATTTATGGTACATAAGATCACCACCCATTATTCCCGCCTTAAAAAAAAAAAAAATATGTTCAGCCGGGTCTTATAAGCGAAGTGGGATAATTTTTACCGGAACACCATAAAAATCCTATCCATAATGATGCATTAGTATTAAATCGTTCTTTAATTTTCTGTTAAGTCTGATAAAGCGAGAAGAGTAGTAGGTATTTATTAGTGGAAACGAGCTGAAAAGAAAAGAAAAAAAAAATAACTGTGTCGAAGGTAATGATGAAGAGAAGAGAAACTCGTGTAAGTAAACCATTTTTTTGGTTCTCTCTCTCCTCTCGATTGTAGATGATGAGAGTCCCATGAGGATATAGCAAATAAAACACTATTATCCAACCTTAGATCACATATCTTTAGTTTGTTACAGAGTCAAAGCCTAAGTGGGTTTAATTGTGAATAATTTTGCATGCAAGAGGAGATAAGGAGATGCAAACCCTCGCCATGCCGAACACCACTTGTCTGGTACTATTAGTGAAATATTCTAACTTTTTAAGAAGAGGTTTTTGTCGCATACAAAATAGGTTGAACTTGAAAGTGAAGGTATTAAAAAAATTATCTTTGGAAGTTTTCTAATAAATCGAGGGAGAAACTCAATGTATGAGAAACTGTACTACTCAACTGTGTGTGTAATTGTACATTTTCTTTGATGTGATTGTGACAAAAATGTCACATACCTCAGTCGTTAAAAACTGAAAGTGGTAAAAAAAAAAAAAAAAAAAAAAGGATAAAGTCATTTTTAGAGTTAGTAGCAGGTTTATGTGTAATTCCCAAACTCAAGTCTATGCTAATTAATAAATTGTAATATTTTTTAAAGAGAGATTTTAAAAAAAAAAGGTAAACAACAAAAAACAGCGATTCAATTCCCATAAAAAAAAGAAAAACAAAAACGAAGCTATTTTCCCCCTTTTAAGAAGACGTATGCAATGTAACAAAAATGTTTACGACATTGTAAATTTAAAAACAAAGAGTTCAATTGAAAAGCGATTTAATGACATTTTTTAGACTGACAAATCTTTTTACAGGGAATGAATACATATGATTCAATTCATCTGCCGTTTTGTTTGTTATTTATTTAGCTTTAAATGGCTATTTTCCATCTTAGAGACAAGTTGGTATACAAAAAAATAAAAAATGATTAGAACTTAAACGCATTTATTTCCATGCTTCTTCACTTTGGAATATTTTATCAGTGGATGAAAAAAAGTACAAGCAAATATTTTTTTTAGTCAACGTAAAAAAAAAAAGTTAATGGTGTCGCAAAATTTAATTTTGGGATAGAATAGTTAAACTGAGCAAAGAATGGATGTCAATCGAAATAATGAAAATTATTATTATTATTCCTTTCTTCTTCTTAGTAGCAGTATTAAGCATAATCACCACCGTAAAGCAGAAGTGTAATAGTAGCGGCAGGCCGCCATCACGAGCGACATCCTTGTTCGTCTTCAATCTTCATCACCATTATTCATCATTCCCAAACCAGTCTCTCAGTTTTTTTGGAGAAACACTAAAAACACCAAGCCGGATATTTTTGAACTGGGCTAATCGTGTGTTTCAAATTTCAAATAAATAAAATATTCACAGATTTTTATAGGTTATTTAGTATTTACGTTTTTAACTTTTAAAATACAGGCCGGGATTAAGAAAATTATTATAAGCATTTTTTCTTTTACTGACCCATTTTAAAAGGTGAAGAAGAATTATGGATGTCCAGAGGAACTCACAACAAAATGTGGATATTGGTCTTTTAACTGCCTTAGTAAAGTTAACACATTATTATTCAATTTATCCCTTGAGTTAAATATCATTACAATATAACTTTTCCATAACGTTTTACATACACTTTGAAAAAGAGCCGGCTACTACAGTTATACACCATTTGTAGCAAACTGCAAAATAATGGATTTTAGTGTCTTCTTAAAAGAACTGATTTACAGGTTATAACTCCAAAATCCATCAGTAAGTGTAAAAATAAAAAATAGTTTGAATCAGTTTGATCCATAAAAATAAAACAAAAAAAAAAAAAAAACGTTTATGTATTTAATTCATTAACGATAATTGAGCATTTTTGTGATTTTCCTGCATGCGTCATGTGGGGTTTCCAAGAGGCAATGTAGGCATCGACAGAGAAAATAATACTGTCCATAAGATCATTAATTTAAAAAACATTTAAATTTAATCATTTTTTTTTTAGTTTATGCCAAATAAATAAATACTTAAAGAAAAAAAAAACCTTTAAATTTAAAAATTGATATTGTTTTTTATATAAGAAAAATACCAATATTGTGCAATCCAAAACCATAAATTTATTTATTACTGTTCTTTCTACAGTTTGTCTGGGGGAGGGGAATCAATAATTTCTTTCTTGCTTCATCAATTTAAAGATAACTTTCCTGATATTCTAACGAATAGTCATGCTCCCTGTCTACTGAATTTTATTTTGTATTTCATCGATCAATTCTTTTAAAAAAAAAAAAAAAAAAAAAATCGATTCACAGATTTAAAATAAGGCACCTGTTCTAAAAAAAAAAAAAAAAAAAAAAAAGGATTTTTTTTATTTCTTCCTAAACTAAAAACGTTTTTACTTCTCAGATGTTTTCTCGATAAATGGATATATTCATCAGTGATTGCTACTACTAGGATTCTTCCTGATCCCATGTAAAGTCGAAAAGGGAGTAACATTCAATTCCATTATTTATTATTATTATTAAAGTTGTTGTTCGTTGGCGAGCAGTAGTAACAGACAAGGAAGAATAAATGAATGATGATAGCAACCAAGTCTTCTTTAAGGAAGGAGGCGGTTGCAGCAGCCAAGAAGTAATGTCTGTGAGAGAGGGACACATTTTTTAATTCTTTATTATTCTTCATTCTACTTTTGTCATTAACCATTCTTTTATTTATTATTTGTGTCTGGAAATGACAGACAGTCCACATAAATAACAATTTATTTGAAATAAATAAACTTAAAAAAGTATCGAAATATAGTCTGAAAATTCAAAATTATATTTCCCCTGACTTTTTCGAAAAATGATAGATCGTAACTCGTAACAAGTAACTAACATATTTTATTTTAACAAAGGAAATTTTTATTCATTCCTCTTCTCTGATCGCTTACCTCTTTCTAGGTTTTTTTTTTGTCTTAACTTTAGTTTTTAAATTTTATATAAGTCCTTTTTGCTTATCTCGTATTTATAATTTAATTTTATGTTACAATGTAATGCTTAGTTTTTTGGTTTTTTTTGCTGCTGAGAAGAAACCGGAAAATAAAATAAAAATATATTAATATAAAATATTTTTTAGCAACAAAAAATGCTTATTATTGTTTGCTACTTACGGTTCAGATTCCAAGCTTTTCAGTTTAGCGACATAATTTGACGGTATATATCCTTCATTTTTAGTAGTCCGAGACCGGGCGTACCACCAGTCTCCTTGTGTGTCGTTCACTATCTCCAAATGTTCTCCCTTCTTGAAGCTCAGGTCCTCGTCAGTTCGGGCATCATAGTCGTACAAGGCAACAAATATCTTCATCTGGCCCCCGAAATGGTCCACAGGTGTATCTGGTTGAGGTGCCGGCGGGGTACATGGTGTAACATTGCCTACATTGAGCGGTGGGGTCGTGATGGGCAATGGTCCCTTAGGAGAATCTGTGCTCAGGGTCCCGTTTGGTTCCAATGGAATCCGGGCTGCAGCGCCACTCGGGTCCCCGATGTGTGCTTTTGAATTATCGGGGCAACTGAAACAGTTACCCATTTTGGCAAATTATGAACAAAATATATTCTAACACTGTTCCGTCGACTAAAAGGGAGTTAAATTTAAACCGTATTCCCCCTTTTAATTCAGACACAAAATCTGCGTCAGTGTAGGGGCCCCCTCATCGACATTATAGGAGGAAGTTGTCAGCTGAAAAAGAAGGATAATGATGATGGTGGTGGCGGTGGTATTATTGGTGTGGTTCGCATTGAATATTTTTGTTCTCCACCGCCCCAAATAACCACAGCAAAGCCACTTTGGATGGCTAGAGTACACCACGATATTGTAGGCTATTGGAATGTAATTCTTAAAATAATCAAAAACCTGTAGAGAACAGTTTTACAGTTTCCTTTTTACTTCTCTGGCACAGCCGCACCACTTCATATTTCTTCGTGAAAACTAGTTCGTGACAGAATAAAAGTCACCTAACAGGCGTTGAGATTGTAACTACGGATGGCTGGACAAAGAAATCTTTAAATTTGTATCAGTAAATAATTCGGTAAGAAATACGCCTAAAACCCCATAAATAATAAGAAAATATATCAAAATAAATTAGTCTAAATTCTTTTGAATTACTACCAATTTGTCACTGTTTACTGTTTATATACTATTTTAATATATTTTCCTTTTAGTATTCCGTACTTACTCATAATGAATATTGAACTATCGTTTAACAATTCGTGTTTTGTTATCTTCAATTTCATTGGTTGAAAAATAGCAATACATTGAAAGATTAGCCAATCCAGAAGAATTTCTTATACGCGTTAACGTCATAACTCAACATGTGATTGTGCAACGCATGGATTGGTTCTTCCTATAATTTCGTCTGCTACTCTTTGATTCCTATTCGACAAATTATTTTTCGTAACAAAAAAAAAAAAAAAAAAATCCTCGATCAAATTTAACTATTAAAATACAAATAAATAAGTAACTTAAGTTTATGGGAAACTATATAAAGTTTTGATGATTTCAAAACTGAACATTTTTTTTAGAAACAATGGAATTGATTTTTTTTTACCATGGTTGTTAATAAAATAACTACATAATACAATTCACATCCCCAAGTATTACAAATATAAACGACAGTCATTATACTTTGATGTAATATTTTTGAGTGGAATATTAACTCTGCTTGAGACCACTTTATCTTTCAGCTATGAACAGTGATTCATAATTTCAACTGTTTTCAAATTCAAGAAGTAATAAATGAAATGAATTAAGTTTTATTTCTTTTAAAGTATTAATTGAAATCTTCAATGATTTTGTGATTTATACCTTAATATAATAATTTAAGAAGATAAAATGATATAAGAAAAAGAATATCTTATAATATAAAAATTACATTTAATAAAAACAATAATATTAAAATTGTATGAGAAAAAATAATTAAAATATTGGAATTGTATAAATATGAATACAGAAACTATTTAATAAAGATAATATTAAAATTGCAACTATGAAAATCTTGGAATGTGTAAAAATTGATATAAAAATTATTTTTAGTAAAAAAAAGAAAATTAAAATTAAAATGTTACTAACACTGTTTCTTTGAAAGAGAAACTGACAAAATGAAGCCAGATGGTTTATAAAAAAAACACAAATAAAAATTGATGTAAAAAGATTAGAAAAAAAGAGGCTGTTATAAAAAACCCTGTCAAACTGAATCCAGACAGTTTAAACATTTTGTGGCAAAGATTTACAAAATGAGGCATAACTTTGATGTAAAAAACAAGCCAAATTTAAATTATTACTGTGGGCAATTTGATTGGATAGTGATTCTTAAATTTTTAACTAATAGAAATAAAAAGGATTAGCCTCTAAGGAATTGTTTTTTGGAGTTATTTTGATCCGCTTCTTTCTATATAAGAAGGAAAATTTTGATTGCAAGAAAGGAATAGACCACAATCTGACATGTAAAGACACTCATCTGGGAGAAAGAATTCTACCACCTGGCCATGTAGTAGCTGTGACCTAGGCAGAAAGGAGTGACCCTCTTGGTGTGTAAAGTCCACTGCAGCTGCTGCAGCTGAGAAGGGATTGGACCTCACCTGGGTGTGTAGAAGCTGTGATCTGAGCAGAAGGAAATAGACCTCACCTGGGCAAAAAATGCTGTGACTTGGGATGCTAAAAGATTGCTTCTACTACTACAACTATTACTGTTGTTGAAGAAAAGTGAAAAAGGAAGAAAGAAGAAAAAGGAAAAGAACCCCTAAAAAATCTAGGAAAATTCTCCTTAAAATATCGTTCCTAAACCTGTAAGAGTTTATCCTATATTTGAAACCCTGAATATTTTATCTAAAGGACCCAGAGAGACAGCTTCACCCAAGCTAACTCTCTTGTCTTCAAGTGGCAACTATCCAAGGAGAAGAAAAAATTTTAATTCAAAACTAGCCTAGAGAGAAATGTGCACCATCAAGCAATCTTGCTCTAAACATGGGGTGTCCCTATGATCATAATAGGACTTGTGACATGACAATAATCAAGAAGAAGAATAAAGAAAAGAAGGCAGTAAAATTGAAAGATAATTCTTATGATAACATAAAACTTAAGCATTTAAGTAAATTGTTTTACTATAACCGATTTTCAGTGAAAACTTTATTTTTAATTAGGCTGGATAGACACGTTTTTCTAGCTTTATATAAATTACTTCTAAAATTGGAAACCTATTCTAAATAACAAGCAGTTCACCAACATAACTAGAGCGATGAAATGGGTGACACTTTTATGGGTGGGTGGGAGTTGTGAAACTTTTTGGTCTGCTGTATAAATGATATAAATGGATAAGAATGAAAAAAACATCACATACTATGTGCTTCTCTTAATTAGCTTTTGAATATGCATTTCTTTTTCAAAATTTAAAATTATATGTTTGTAGTGGAACATTATGTTGTCTATGGCCTTCCTTTGCAATATCACGTCTCCGGTCATCATTATGTAGAGGACCAATAGGTGAAGATGTAAAGAAAACACGTCCGTGTATATTTCCTGCTAGAAGGTCCAGCTACAATAGAATCTTGGACTTGGATTGAGTCCAACTGAAAATAAGGAAGACAAATAAACAAGACCGATACATATAAACAAATATATGTATTAAACAAAACATTTACAAAGCGCATAGACAGTTAACATTGTATTTGTGTGTGTGTGAACGTTCGTATTTTGATGAATGCTTGTGGTGAATGTTTGTACATATGTGTATGTTGGTAATGTTCTTTAATGTCTGACCACAAGGTCAAGACGATAATTCTCGGGGACTACATTTTGCAGTAAGAATAGAGAAGAAAGAGAAAGAGGCAAACTCATGTTTGTTTTTATAACTAATGTAATCATACATAATATACTTGCTCTGTTTCTCTTTTCTTCAATGTGTCTTGTGATTCTTTAAAGCTTTTTTCAATGTGTCTTTAAATTCCTTAAAGCTTTTTTCTTCATTATATATCTCTAAAATGTCATCAAATTCTTAGCAGCAATTCTTTTGTAATCGCTATTCTGGTTAGAACTGTTTCATTTGTCACATGCTCTGTCCATGGTATTCTCAACATTCATCAATAGAACCACATCTCAGTTGTATAGCTTTTGTCATTTGTGACAAAACTATCCAGCATTCACTTTTATGCAGGATTTTAAACATTACATAGCAGGTTAACATATTTTTTTTCATTTATAATGTCATCAATCAATTCCTTAATAACTTACCCAATTTCTGAAAAGTGTCTTTTGCTACTCCTCTACACCAGTGATTCTCAACTGCCATGTCATGGCACACTAGCATGCCACAAAATCCTCTTAAGTGTACCACAAAATATTGTCAGGGTATACATATATGTGTGTGTGTGTGTGTGTGGGAGTAGTAATAGTACAGCATTAGTATTTGAATGAATGAATAAGTATTAAACTTTTTTCAAATATGTCTTTTCACTATTTTTCAATTACATTATTTTAAATACTTTGTTTTAATATTCATTTTTTAAAAAGTGTTTTTATTTTTTAATTTAACTTTTTAAAATTTTCCTTTATTTGAATAAATGAATATTAACATTTTTTTCATATAATTGTATACAGCATTCTTTGTTTACTTCAAAATTTTTACAAAGATATATTGAATTATGACTTAATATTGAGCATTTGATTTAATAATTTTCCAATTTTTTAAATCTGTTGTTTTTTTTTTCATAACATTTAAATGTATACTCTTTGAAAATTTTGCTAAATGTGCCATGATATTTTCATTTGCTCTTAGGTGTGCCATTGCTTAAAAAGGTTGAGAAACACTGCTCTACACCTTTGAATTTCTTTGTCCCACTTTCCATTGTGGGGATGGCACCACCTCTTCTGCCAGAACACTCAGGATTTGTCTCTGATGAGAGAAATTTCTTTCCCCACCTGGCAAACTGATGACTTAATTTGAAACTAACCACATGGCACATCACATATGCATATATACATACACTATACTAAACACATGTATGTCTTCCTTTGTTTGAACTATCTGTATATATATACATATATAAAAATATATGTGCATAATTTTTCCATTCTCTTCTTTTGTGAGCTCTGTTGCTTTTATATATATATATATATATATATATATATATATAACACACAGAGGGTGCTATGGATAAATTGTTGTCTAAATTACACAAAAATGTAAATAACATTGACATCTCATTTTAACAGATATACTAAAATTACACAAAAATATCTTGAAATACTAAATTTATTCAATAAGATTGCCATTGGCTTCAGCCATAGCCGCCAGACAACTTCACAATCTCCTGCAACTCTTCTGTATGGTCTCCTTAGTTAAGTTGGTAAATGCAGCCATAATCCTTGCCTTCAGTTCATCTTTGGTATTACAACAAGTTTTGTTGGTCTCTCACTCAACTGCACCCCATGCATAATAATCAAGGGAGTTGCAGTCTGGAGAGTTTGGTGCCTAGATATAAGGAGTGATGTGGTCACAGAAATTGTCTGGCTGCCCTGACTGGGTTCTCCTGCTT